TGAAATTCTGGGTGGAATTGTTATGTAAGATCTGCTTACTCACATCCTAATTGCATCGAGACTTTGAGAAATACATCGGTGAGGAATGTACCAAAATTTGTGTAGAGGTGTAGCCTCTTTTCTGCAGGTGAGAAATAACAGTGGTAACTGTTGCTGTTGAAGTGGACTTTCTAACTGAATAAGGATGATGAGATACAGGAGTGGCAGGGATGAGGTAGAAGCACTTACCTTCCAGAGACCAGGAGACACAATGGTGGCAGATCCAAAACAGTTATCAGAATGAATCGGCATGGTCGATCCACAGAAAACTTTGATGTTATCTAACTGATCAGAGTGTCCCTAGGAGTGAAATGGATTGGCAGCCCACTGAAGTCTTACTTGATTTGTATAACTTGGAAAGCCTCAGATCTCATGAATGTAAGTATGACCTTAATCAGCCCAGTAAGGTGTGTAGCAGATAAACCATTTCCCGCAGTTGTTTGTAGAACTAGAGCCCTTGGAATAAAACATGAGCTCATTTATGCCAAATGAACAGGGAAAGTGAGACCATGGCTTAAGGAATTCACTATTCTAACCATGTTCTCCATCTCTATGAAGAAGTTGGACTTTTTGAATTACACGGCATTATGAAGAAGCCAGCTAGGGGACAAACTGGGTAAGAACATCTTATGTGTCTGGGCCACAGGTCTATACAGGACATGCTCCCAGGAAGTGACCAATATACATTGGTGTTTCTTCCATAGCTAGGATAATGGAAGTTCTAACAGAACAAGGGGAGGAGAATTGAAAGCCATGTAGGTCAGGAAACAAGAAATGAACCTGTCACTAGATGCAGATGGCATGGTTTACATGGAAAATCCCCAAAATTTCGGCGTATGGCTAGCCCTCCATAAGCTCATGTGATTTCCACTAAAACTAGTTAGAAGGTTGATACCTCATTCACTTCAAAGATTTCTGAGAAGCTGGAGTTCTCTGTATGAGCTATACTGAGGAACCTCATCCTGTTATAGAGGAACTACTATCTCCTGGATGAGGCAGCTCCATTCAGGCAACATGAGCCTGCTTAGTATTCAAATAATCGTAGACCCTTAGTGTATAATGAAGAGATAGCTGACAAAAATTAATTACATATGGGGTTGTGAGGCCCAAGGTTAATTAATAGGTTTCGCTTTGAAGTCATATAAGTTAGTTTGAATTGCTACACTCTATAATTAATGTCTAATTTTGGATAAGCTCTCTAAACATCAGTTGCATTATATAGAAAATGAGCCTAATACCAGGGTTGGGGTAAGAGTTAAATGTATTATATAAATAGCTCGGTTCAGTGTCTAGCACAGAGTATGCAAAAAATAGCTTAGTGGCTCCTTTCATGATTTTCACTATTGTTTATTTTTGTAGTAAAGTAGAAAGTCATAGTCAGTAATGACAGTGGAAATTATTACATGTATTTCATGAGCTAAAATAATTTTCAGCTTGTCTTATTTCATATCCTTGAATTTTTTCCTGTCATCTTATTTTTATCCTACACTTCTGATGTATGTTATCTTGCTCTGTTATATCCAGTATTATCGGCTACTTTCAATTGGTTTGTAACAATGTGGACTTAATATACAAACATAGATAAATCTAGAAATGATCTTGGACTATAAATGAATAAAATGTTACAGAACCTTAAAAACTTGGGGTTTACAAAATAAAAAGAGAAATGGAAAATATAGTTTCAAGGAATTAACATAGGTAAACCGGATTTAAAATGTACCTACCATTCTTTTCTTAGCAAATCTAAATATGAAAACTACTAAACAATAAGTAGGCAAAGCATTAAAAGTAAATTTTTGAAAAAGAGAGTGATTTGAATAATTATTGTATGAATTTATTCCTTTTCCAACCACCCTGAGGAACATGGGTTGCCAATTTTGCATATTCCTCATTAGCTAGACTTTACTCTTTGTACACCCTTGATCCCCCCCCAAAAATTAATTCCATACTGTTTTTTTCCCCAGTGTAGATTCGGCAGATAAAAAGAAAATATTGCTAGAAATAAACCAAATGAAGTAGGATCCTGAAAGAACTCACCTAATTATCTATGAACACTAAATTTTTTATTGAATCATCAGTCTAATTGTATATTTGGAAAAATACCTGGGGAACAAACATAGCATATACTGAGAGTATCAGAAATATCCATCTGCATTAGAAAAACATTTTCTTTCATAACTACATACACAGTAGTGTTCAAATATTGTAGAAAACAATTTTTACAGAAAATGTTATAATAACAATGTAGCATTTACTATTCTGGCTCAGTATATACTTGTAGATAGTAATCTGTTAACACAGGCATTTGGAAAAACGCTACCATATGGTGAGAGACACAAAATCAAAAATAGGAGGTGAGGTATAAAGGGTTAACAAACAGCATTCAATGTTGTGTTACCCATAATTCAGGCTATTTAGTCATTTTAGACATTTTTATTAAAACATTATACAGAATTGAAATTTTACTGTATTATGTATGATATTAAATTTGCGTCTTTTAAAAGCAAAGACCTCAAGTTGAATAGTTCATTAGTTAATGTAACATTTAGATATATCAAAAATCACTACTGATACGACTTAAAATTATAATATTGAATTTTTGAATTAATATTATTTGGTGCATTTTAAATGCTTATTTTGAAAATTTATATGCACTTAAATTTATTCCCTTTATTTTATTATTTTTTTTTAAATCCTCAACCGAGGATATTTTTCCATTGATTTTTAGAAAGAGTGGAAGAGAGAGGGAAAGACAGAGAGAAATATTGATGTGAGAGAAACACATCGATTTGTTGCCTCCTGTATGGGTCCTGACCAGAGCCTAGGGTTGGGGAGGAGCCTGCAACCAAACTGATGTACATTGCCTTGGACTGGAATCAAATCCAGGACCCTTCGGTCCACAGGCCAACACTTTATCCACTGAGCCAAACTGGCTAGGGCAAATTTTTCCCTTTAAATGTGCCTGTTTAGATAGCTGAGATGTAAAGGCACATTTCTCTTCCTTGAATATGCTTCATTCTTAATTGATAAAAATCTTGGGATACTGCAGTGCTACGCACAGCATTAAAACTGTAGGCTTACTCTCACTGGAACTTAGAATGCATTAAAATTGACCTTAAAAATCTCACATCTGAAACACATTTTTCTCTCTTTATGTTACCTATCGCTGTTATATCCAAAATAGATTTTAGTCATTAGATGTGCCAGTTAATATTCTACTTTTTAAGGGAAAACTTTTATTCTGAAAGCAGAAGAGCAGAACAAGCAATGAACAAAAGAAGACATTTTACAAGCAGACTTTTATTGCAATCTTTTGCAGTCTTAAAATACAATCCTCTGGTACTTTCTTATCAAGGGGTTACATTATGGAATGCTTACCAGAAAATTGCATCTTACAAACAATTTCTGAATAGATGAGATTTATTTTCCCAGGATTACCCATACTGAACCAACTCATACATAGTTTCATACTGTTTTATGAACAGTAAACAATACACTGAGTAAACCATAACATGCACATATAAGTGAAAAAACTAAATGTTCTAACTGGAATGGGTTTTGATTTAAACCATTAAATTGTTCACAGCTACATGTAATTGTGAGGTTGCACAGAAGTACAGAGAGCAGTCATCTATTTACATGCATGAGCTCATGGTAGAAGGGCAAATATATGTTTCCCATAGATACTTGGAATTCAACAATTCCACTTGGAAATATTTATTTGGGTTTTGTAAGAATTTTTTTATCTTAAAATGTTGTGTAAAAAATACAAATACTCCAAATAAATAAAAGTTTCATAATACATTTTTATTGACCCACTCATCAATACATTCTCAAACAATATTTTGCCAGCATAATTTACATGTTCTCTGTGCTTTGGATATTCCAGGCAAAGAACTCTCTATCAAGTAGCCTTGAGAGATAGGGAAATTGGACAGGGACAAAGCAAACACATGGGTAATTTCACAGGCACTGTTATAAAGCATTGTGTCCCAGGTAATGTGATGAGTGGGGCTTTGCCTTGGTTGATCAGAAAGGCTGTGTCTTATCTTCAAGTGTCTGTGGCTATGAAAAGATGAGGTAGAATCAGCATGATGATTTTTTAATTTAAAAATTCTATAGGCATGTGCAGCAATGTAAGGAATCAAGATATATGTTTTGGTCATGTTAGTTTTAAGGTAACTTTTAGATCCCTGGAGTCATTGATTATGCCCTTTGATGTAAATTTGAGAGATCATAGAAAAATAAATGTTTGAGGCATTAGCATTTATGTACTGTTTCAACTATATCAGAAAAAGAAAAAAGGATTATGTAAGGGGAGAGAATGCAGATAGAGAAGAAAAAAGCAGGCCCAAGACAAAGACCTGTGATATTTCCAAATACAGGTGTCTAGCAGAGGAGAAAGAACAGCTCAGAGAGGATGGATTTCAGACGCTAATGACAAATGTGCTTCAATAAGGAAAGGGCAGCAGCGCTGGATGCTATTGAGAGCTCACCTGAAGCAGACAGAGGTTGCCTTTGGATGTGACAGAATGGAGGCTGTTAGCCACTGAAACCTGAGCAGTATCCATGGAGGGGTGGATCGAAAGCTAGGATCTGATGGGTGATGAGTCAATGGAACTTTGCAGTCCAACAAGGTGGATAGAACACATGCAGTAACCTTAATTTTCTCCTAAAACTACACTAAAATGACAGCAAAGAAATTTAAATAATAAAAGGTCAATATATGAAATATGAAATACATTGTCAAGATATTAAAACAACCTACGTGTCCAACAATGGATAAGGAAGATGTGATATATGTGTGTGTACATGCAAGGGAGTCTATAGTTATTGTCTTAACATGGAAAATCAAGACAATAATAACAAAAACACTTACAGTAATATTTATGCATTAAATACAATGTGCTAAACACTGTTCCAATAATTTTATCCTCACCTTTAGGTAATATTATTATACCTGTAATGGAGAAGAGGCAATTAAAGTCCAGAGAGCTAAGTGACCTGAACAAGGTCACAAGGCCAGCAAGGAGTAGCGCTTTGGAGCAAATCCTTCAGGCGAACTTCAGTTCCTGCCCCGAGGAGGTGTAAGTGTCTTCTCCAGAGAGCCAGGATTAGGGGTGAGTAAAGTGGGAAGAAAATGTTTTCCTCCCCCAGTGTCTTTACTCTTTGATGAATATGTACATGTAATACTTGATAATATTATAAATTAAATTGTTTTAAAAGGAAGAACTTACACCAAATTTTAATCTTGATTTTCTCTGGTTGTTGGAATTGTTAATAGTTTTTAATGTTTCTTTTCCTTGTCCAGCTTCTGATTTCTTATATTTGACTCTGATTAGTTGTACAATTAAAAGAATGTTTTATCAATTTTTTAAAGTGTGGATAGGAGTTGAAAAAGGAGAGTATAGACATGTCTTTCTGGAAACATTTTTCTACAAAGGAAAACAGAAATAGGGTGTTGGAGATATGAGACCAAAATGGAAAATTCTAGAGCATGTTGCCATGGTGATAAAAACAATCCAGCAGTGAAGGGGAAACGGGGTGAGAGAGAGAGATATAGTGAATGCCAGGTGAAGGTTTGGAGGAGATGAGAGGGAATGGATATTAAATCTATAGGTCTTCTGGGATCATGAGCACTTCATCTCCATCATTTCTACAGGAGTAAAGGCAGCAAGTGTAAGTTCAGATGTAGTTAAGTAGGTAGGTGCTCTAGGAGAGGAATTTCAACTCTGATAGCCTGTATTTTTGAAATGACATGTGAGGACACTTCACCAGTTAGTGAGCAGTGGGGAATAAAGTCAACGTTGATGAAAAATCAGAAGATATGAAATGCCCTGCAATTGACTCATTAGTGAAATCAATTTCTTAACGGTGTTTGGCTATTTGAGATTTATGGTCATTAACTTAAAGTGAGAATAAACAAACTGAGCATGATAAAAGTAAGTAACAGCCAGACACATAGCAGTTACCACATAATGTTGCCTATTATTTTATTGTCATACTGCATCCCTAACCAGAAATCTCAGAGCAGAGCAGAGTTCAAACCTCTAACCCTGGCTTCAGTCCCTTTCAGATATTCTGAGACATAATTCCAAGTCACCTTCTAGATGCTCATTGTTTCCCCTGCCCTATTACAGATCTTGAATGCAGCATTCTCTGTCTACTTCCCACAACATGTGAGCAAGCAAAGCAGGCAAAACACTCTCCCCATTTACTACCCTCATATTTTTTCTGGGGATGGAGAAATAATTAGGAAAGGTAAAGCCAGGCTATAGATAAAAAGAGTTCTTGTCATGTGTGCCAATTGTTTCTTGTCGTGCCATATTTCTTTAAGTCCCTGGGAGGAAAAAAATCCCATAGGATCTATTTGTTTTAAAATAAGAGCTTCTACATTCCTTGTTCCTGATACTATTGGTTGCTTTGTGGCACTATTGATTCAGCATCTGACTTCCTGAACCCACTCAATTGTTCCATAAGTTAGTGTTTAATCTTCATGATTTTAGATTTGTATGTTGAATTCTACTTTACTGACCACTTGCCTGGTATTGAGAGAATCCATATAACAACATTACTCATAGTTTTCAGTGAGGTCACAGAAATGCAGTCAGGTTGAGTGACCTGTTCAAGATAATCTGGCTAAAAACCAGCAGAATAGGTCTCACGTCTTGTTCCATTTACTTTCTCTATAACTTCAGTTCCCTAAGTGTACAGTGCATCCCAATCACCTGGAGTGGTTCTTAAAGCAGATTTCTGGGCTCCAATCCCAAAGATGCTGATTCAGTAGGTCTGGAGTGACGCCTGAAAACCTAAACTTCTAATAAGTTCCCAGGGGATATTGATGTTGCTGGTACTTTTCTGTAGAACAAAACATAAATCTTTTTGTCAATTCTTCTGGCTCCAAGTCCAAGAATCTTACTATTTCTCTGTATCTCCCAACATGCTGATACTTTCTTCAGATGTGCATGCCCTGATCTTAGGCTATTAAGGTGCTATTTCTGCAAGTTAAACAAAATACTGCTAGTCTCTCCTTGCAAGGCCTTTAGACTTCAGAAGTAATCCTTGGAAGGGTCCCCTGTTAATGATTTTATGTGGTATCTACAAGATATGTGGAATTTCAGTTAAAGAATAGCTCCTCTAGAGGAAATGGACTAGGGACCTCTCTAGGTTTTAAGATTGTAATATCCAGCCCGGCTGGTGTGGCTCAGTGGTTGAGTGTCAACCTATGAACCAGGAGGTCATGGCTCGATTCTGGGTCAGGGCACATGCCCAGGTTGTGGGCTTGATCCCTAGTGTGGGGCAGGCAGGTAGCAGCTGATCAATGATCCTCTCTCATAATTGATGTTTCTATCTCTCTCTCTCCCTCTCCCTTCCTCTCTGAAATCAATAAAAATATATTTTTTAAAAATATTGTAACATCCTTGGCTCTTTCCCCTACTACCCTGTGTACAAAGCCAAATCCATTCAATGCAATGTGACTTAAATTTCCCCAAATGTCTCCTGTAGATATGGATATTTTAAAGCCATTCACTTATCTCAAGTAGTGTTCAGACTCACATGTGCAAAAACACTCAAATTATTTTTCACAGGCTGCAAGGGCAACATATAATTAAATTATTGTCAAGAGATTCTATTATTCCTTAAGAAAAATATACAGCAAAAACTAAACATTTTTAATCCCAGTTAAATTTCATGCATGTTTTAAATGTGAAAAAATGCTTCTACAAATGCAAAATGACATTTTGAATTTAGCTATTCATATCTTATAGCTTAAATACTGACAAAATTTTAGACACCAGTATAATCATCCTGAACACTATAGTTGTTTGTATTTTGTATTTTTTCTTCTGCCAATTGAAAAAAAGCACTGGGAAGATACTTTTAGAAATTTAGACAATCTCTGGGTAAAATAACATTTTGCCAAAAATTTGTTTGAATGTGAGTTATGATAACCCCCAAAGAGATCTTCTTGCTTTAAAAACAGTAGATTTGAAAGTGTACTTTGACTTGGAACATTGTGCATAAAAAAAAAGAAAGAAAAGCATTAGAAGAACCTTAGATAGTATTTTTCATTAAATTGTCATGAAAGATTTCTAAACAATAAAACCAAGTCATATCATAAAAATGCCAACTATATCAACTGAGATATGTATTTTGTGATAGGAGACATGAAGATTAAAAGTCATCAAAAAGACATTATTATGCCATGGAAGATGTTTCATTGGTTTGATAATAGTGATGAATTTATGAAATGAGTAATCTTCATAGCAATAATTTTCAGAAATCTCTATACCTGTACATGTTTTTCTATTTCTCAATTTTGAATATATGTCTCTACCTCTGTATACAAATCTCTATTTAAGTTTGGAAAATAATAAATTTCAAAAATATGAAAGTTATAAGATCATTTAAATGGTTTATATCTGCCAGGGTTCTTGTCCCAGCATCAAGAAGGGTTCAGGAAATCTGGAGAAGGCTGTGTGTAGATGTTAAATAAGAGGAGTCCAGAGACGAGATATAATTTTGAAAGGCATTTGGGGGTCAGAAGAGCTTAGTTGAAAGAGCTAAGTTCTAAGGTCTTAAGTCTAAGGCCTTAGGTTCTCCTGTCCCCAGGACCCCATGCTTTTTATTAACACAATTAGTCCTGAGGCGAGGTAGAGATATACACTTCAAAGGGTATACAGAAACATTGTCAGGATGGGGGAATTAGCCTATGGCTGTTCAGGTGTTTGGCCTGTAGGAGGCAATAACATGTAGATTAAGATGCCTTTTAGCTGTCTGGCAGCCAACAATCAATTTAATGGATCCTATTCAGGTTTGGGGAAATGCCTTCAGCCATTCTCAGATGCAGCCCTGCTGTCATACTGGAATTGGTCTCCAGCAATATCCTTGGAAAAACAGTAAAAGTTTCTCATCTAAAGACTAAACTCTAAAACTTTGCTTCTTGGGTATAACAGTATTGGGGTGGGGCGCTTAGGGTTATAAGCTTCAAGTTAACATCAGCCAATCTTTTATATCTCCATCTCTGACTTAGCAAATCCACATGTTTATCTTCTCCTGAATACTTCCTGCCTTTTAAAATTCCCTTCTTTGTTTTGTGTTATAGTAATAAGTTTAGTTAGTATAAGATAGTATAATCAAATTTCATTTTTTTATTAGAGTGAATTTTAAACTTTACTTAGAAGAGGAACTTAAGTTGTGTGTGTGTGTGTGTGAGACCCTGATAAGTAACTGGTAACACCCTGCATGTTAACTCCTGACAAAATTGTAAACAACAACTCCTTGCCTGTGCACTCCTGATAAGTACCTTGTAACCCACTTCGTGTATATCCTGATAAGCCCAGAAGGCCACCGGAGCACACTGATATGAGACACAGAAGAAGCCCACCATGGGGTATAAAAGAAGGACTCTCACAATAGCAGTCAGACGTCTGTCTGTTTATTAGAGTGAATTTTAAACTTTACTTAGAAGTGAAACTTAATTTGTGTTTGACGACCTCCGTGTGTCTCCTTTGTCAGCGAGTGTCTCCGGGTGGCCTGCCAAGGACTGAAACCCATCAGCTCTCTGGTAAATAAACCTGTGTGATTTCTTGCATTGTTTATCTCCTGTGTCTCCTCTCTTCTTAGTTTTTGGTTAAGCTCGGCCATATTAATTAATAGTAAGTACCCTTTGAGGTCTGTATTGGTATATCCAAATGAGGCACTCTGGGTCACCTGTGCATACGTTCCATAGATAATTGGAACATTTTGTTACTAGTGGTGACTCATCTACTAGCAATTCTCATTCAATGATCATTGTCTTCCTCTTCACCCATATTTGCTTTCACTAGTAATCCCATGATGGAGTATGCAATACATATCCAATTCTTCCCTAGAAGAAGTGCCCCAGCACCATTTAATATGGACCATCTCCAGAGATTGACTCCATTTATGTAACAATCACCTTTAAGAGTAAGTGGAAACAAGAAGTTTTTGGAAAGGTGTCTTTCTTAATTAACTAAAGGTCATGAGGCTATCACGACAATGGATCTAAATAATAATGTTGATTTTTTTTTTTGAAAATGCTATATGTATGGCAGTTTGTACTTCCATTGGGATACAAAGGGCAATATACTGCCCC